TGCGGTCGCGTTGCAACCCTTTTTAGCAGCGTTTTTGCTGCGGCTATTTTTACGCTTCCACATCCCAGCTGCTGTAGCTCTAGGCGGACGCGTCGCCGTCGCGATGCTTCTATTTTTATGCGGTTTTTCAGTCCTAGCGCTCCCAAGCACTAAAATGAAGCCAGGCGCGTGGCGGTTCGCGTCAATTTTCTGCAGCGCCTTTTGACACCCAGAAACTTAGAATATTCCCTATCCTTCTAGCTCTAGGCGATTTTGCAAACCCCGAAAAGCCCGCGGGGCGCACCCCAGCCCAAATTCGAAGCTTGGCAACCGGGAAAAAGAAAGGAGAAGCCCGGCAAGTCCCGGGGCCGATGCTCCCCGGCCTCGGTTTTGGTCGCTTAGCGCTTCCCCTCCAGCCCAACACCCACGCCCCACCCAAAATTCTGTGACGTTGCTTTGTCGTTGTTTATGCGCGGGACTTGCTTCAATTTTTTCAAAAAAATTACTACGGCGAGTTCGAGACGTTCGGGCCTGGTATCAAGCTCAAGGAATCGTCAAAAGTTTCATAACTTTTTTGGAGCTTGTTACGCTGCGCTTGAAACATCTCGAAATAGTTCTAAACTTTCTGAGTTTTATCGGGTTTTTTAGCACTTTTTAGCGGCCAATTTCTAAAAAATGCTTTTATAGGTATCGTTCAGTTTCCTCGATTTTCCGGGCCCGCAACACGCAACGCCTGCGCCCGCCTTTCGATTATGTAATGGATGTCGACCGTTTCAAGCAACGTATGCGTCGCGTGTCGCGGCTGCGGCCGAATCCCTAGGATCCACCTCCTTTTCGTCCCCTTAATTCGTTAAATGGAGTTTGCTAGTGTTGAAAAATCAAGAAACTGCATCTTTAAGTAATTTTTGACAAGTAGACGACCAACTCTTCGAAGCCGTTCACGTCTTTCTAATTTCCATTTTTCCGGTCAGCAATTGACCTATTTTAGAGGAACTCGCCAAATTTCAATCACCCAAAAATCGGGATCAAAAAAGTTCGAAACTGGGTGTTAATTGGTATCGGGTGGGGGGGTCTATTTGGAGGGAAACCCCGCAATTTCGGGTCGGTGATTTAGTGGGTCCCTTTTTGGAATTGCTCTCTCTCTCTCGCTCTCTCTCCCGCTTTCTCTCTCCCTCTCTCTCCCTCTCTCGCTCCGGCTTATTCCCGATTCTTGGGCGCAAGCATCCGGTGGTTGGCTTCATCCCCTTTTTGGTCGGCAACTAGCAAAAAATGGCGCATCCGGTGGGGGGTTCGATTTGGTCAGCTTTCAGTCGGTTTTTTATAGTGAGCCCAGGAACCTGTTTGATCAGTTTGTTCGGAGGGTTGGCCGGTTTCTTTGAATTCTCGAAATTTTCGGGGTTCCCCCAGTTTTTTATGGGGGTGAACTTGAGGGTTCCACGGCGCATTAATGGGAATTAGTTTTTGTTGATTTAACATTTAAATCTTCCAGAATTTCAAGTTCATCATAGGTGGTAGATCACACATTAATGGGAGCCTATCCACCGCAGAGTTAAAAAATGTTTTTGTAGGTCCAGAACACTTGTACACTTTTTACTCTTTACGATTCGGAAAGTCCGTACCACTCCTTATTACACCACTGTACAGCCTCGGAAATGCTTTCGAACCGCACAATCATCCCGGATACGCTGAAATACGTTTTTTTGGTTCTTTCGCGTTATCGGGGGGTACCCGAACGGAACAGCTAACGTTCTTGTAGTCAATTTTTCTAGGAGAAATAGAGGAAGTGTTTTTAAACTTTTTTTTTTACTATTTTTGGGCTTTTTTTTTTGCTACCTTGCCAATTGTCGAAACAGGGGCGTGCCCAGCGGTCTGGCCCGAATGACCCTTTAAAGGGACCGTGCCGCCAGGGTTTAACGACTGAATTGGATATCAAATTTCGATATTTACTATGTAGGATCTCTCGAATCGTTTGGGCCAGACTAATCGGGGCGGTTCCCCCTTTTTATTCTCGACGGTCCTGGCTGTCGGGATATAGGGTGTACAGATGGGGTGTTGGCCCAGCTGCATCTCTCTCCCTCCCCCCGACCCAAATCGAGGGGGGGGGGAAGGGCCGATCCGCCAGGATTCAAATCCCCTTCTCATCATTGGTGAGGCTAGAATCTATATAACCGTGGCTAGAATTCGGGCTGTATTTTGCTTTATTCTATTAACGCTTTTTTAAAGGGCCTGGAGAGCCGGAAAATTGGACATTTCCTGGAAATCTTTTGGCGCAACTTTTCAAAATTCGGCTGAAATTCACTGATCATTATTTTTACAGTGTTATAAATTTTTTTTTTTTTTTTTTTTTTCCTTTTTTTTTTTTTTTTTTTTGGGGCCCTTTTTTTTTTAGACATTTTCCCCCCGGGGGGCCCCGGCCTACGCAATTTTCCGGTTTGGGGGGGTTTTTTTTAGGGTTTTTAAGGATTAACTAAATTCCTTTGAGCGTTTTCCGATAGCAATGGATAGAACTCGATTTCTAGATATTATTAAAGCCAGAAATGTTTAAATTTGAGCCAATTCTAGCAAAATTATAGCCCCAGAAAGGCTTTAGACAACGCAACTTTCCGCCCTGACGCTCCCATTAACATTATACTGCCATAACGCAAACGTAATCGGGGCGTTTTCCGCGATCTGTTAGACCGTGATTATTCCCATGGTCTGCCATAACAGTGTGCTGATTTGCATAAAGGCTCTTCTGCTACGGCCTGTCCTCCCCCAACAATTGGCCCATTCCCACCCATTTCGCAATGAGAGGCCCCCGGGTTCTCACCGCCAAATTGAGCCATTTAGCCACCGTATACCGACTGAGGGTTGCGATTTAGACATCGACGATGATTTCTGGAACTTATTGTGTTTTTAAGGGGCTTGCAAGTCTGGAATTTTTCGAAATGGATCTCGAAAATTCGATGACCGTGTAGATTTCTGAATTCCGGATCCCTTTAAAAACAAAAAATATGTAAATTTTGAAGACTTTTCGAGCTTTAGATTTTGGATCGCGGAAGCATATATTTTCCGGGCCTTTTTAAGCCTTCCAAGTACTGTAGTTTTGTCTATAAATTGGAATTTAACCGTTGCCAACCACCCATTAAATGCCCTAATTTGTCGGTATTTTACAGGCTTTAGGTGTTTTTGCGGCGTTTTTCGTACCATACCAAAATGTAATTTTTGTTTTGTACTTTGTTCGAAAAGTTTATTTATTTGAATTTCCATTATTTTTGCTTTTTCAGGGTAACTTTCCTCTCGGCGACATGGACGAGGAATGGGGAGTGCTGAGGGAGGATATCCTGTTTTCAGCCGTTGCCGTCGGGAATGACGATATTGAGGTCAGGATTTTGGTTAAAGAGAGGCAGGCTAGCGGAGACAATTTGCGGAACCATAGAATAAATACACTTAAAGGTTTTTTAAACGAGGGCAGACTAGCAGATAATTTTTGGGGATTCTGGAAAATCTCAGGCGAGCGAAATGAGGGGACAGATCTTGTTTTTGAACCATAAATTTTTCAAATCGAGGCAAGCGAGCAGAGAAACTCTGGGATTTCGCAAAAATTGGAATTTTTTAGCAATTTTGAGCTTAATTAACATGCAAAACAAATGAAAAACAAGATATTGCTATTTTTAATTTTTGTAAAGGTCTAGGCAAGCTAGCAGGGACCACTTTGTGGAATTGCTATTTCGGGTGAGGCCGCAAAAAATTTGGTGATTCGTCTAAATTTGATAACCTCCGTTTAATCAGCCCTTTTTCGAAGGCGCCAAATCATGCGCCATTCCCCTTGGTGAATCACCCAGAATGCACAAAATTTTTTGCTATTTTGCCGGTATCAGAAAGTGACGTATTGATGGGGAATCATCAGATTTAGGACTACCGTAACCCACGAAATTTTTCAGGCCGATCACGTGAAGTGTGAGCCGTTGGAGACATTGGATGATACTTCGGGTGAGTATTGCGAAGAGAAGTGAACGTTCGGCGGACTGTCCCGGAATGGCCCTTTTGCGTAATTTATCAGTGGGCCGTTCGCGTAGAGACAAAGACGGAAAAACGGGAGCCATACGCCGGGCGTCCGTGATTTTTACAAGATAACGATAGGGGGCGAATAAGCCGACCTGAAAGGCGCCCGATTCGCCGAAGATCCGGTTCTGTAAATTGCAGCTTGAGATAAGTACGAAAAAACGCCGAAAAATCGATGGGGAATGCTGAATGTTTTAAATACGATTTTCTAGAAATTTAAACCTGAAATTTTTGAATTTTCTTTTAATCCCAAGCATCATCATTAATTATGCGCATTAGCATTTTACAATTGAAACGTTTTGATGCTTTTTAGCCATAGCAAAGGGCTCGAAACGATTTTCGTTCGGTCTACCATCTAAAAACCGGTGCTTTGGCATTATCAGGGGGGGTATTTTTTCTTATGATCCGAATTTTCGCTATTCCTAGACCTTAATAATTTCGATTGAAAATACAAAAAAAATCGATTTTCGACAACAATTCGGGTTTTTACACTTTTTAATTTTTTTGGGGTAGTCTTTCCACTTAAATATCGTGAAATTTTACGAAAACACTATTTTAGGGGCTACATAAATCCCCCGATAATGCAAAAGCGCGGTAATTTGGCACAGGATCAGATTTTAAGCGCGTTGGGATCTTTAACGTATCGTAGCTTAAGGCATATCAATTTTTGAACCTTCCCGGTCCCTTTAAAAAGTTGCCCTTTCATTTCCCGGCCTTCCAAAATTTCCGCGACACTACTAGGGGCAAGGCCAGTGGAAGGGGGGGGAAGAAAGACAGAAGAAAAAGAAGGGCTAGCGTCGCGTCCCCCTCCTGCTCCTCTTTCTGTTCTAATCAAAATTGAGATAAGGAAGGGAGGGAGAGGCGATGCCCATCCCCCCGATCAGAATAAGGCTTCTCCCTTATTCCATCCCCCCTTCTACCTATACAGTAGTTTTCCTAAAGTCTGACCGGGCTACCGTAATTCGACCATCTACTCGATGACCTCATTCGGTTTTGACGAAGAAATGTTCCACCCAGGCACCCCGGAATTCAAGGTGTTCGACTTTGTCGAGCACAAACCGCTTCCGATTGCTGGGTGGGGACTGCGTGTGCCCGGTGAGTGGTTGTCTTTAAAGGGACATGGAAGGCGATCGAGCTCGACGGTTGGCTAGGTCTAGACAGTTACGTCTATTGGAAAATCTACTTTATCCTGATAGGTTAAAGGGCCCGGAAAGCCCCAAAATCTACCCTGAGCGTCGACTAGGTCTAGACAGTTGCGCTTTACTGCAAAATCCGTTTTATCCCGCTAGGCTAAAGGGACGTGGAAGCCAAAAAATCGACCCAGATGGCCGACTAGATCTAGACACGCTGCTAGAAATTCATGCCACTCAGCTATTCTAAATGGATCGGAAAATCAAAAAACCACCCCGGCGGTCGACTAGGTCTAGACGGTTATGCGATCTTTGAAAATCCGTCTCATCTAGACAGGTTCAATGGATCGGAAACCACAAAATCTACCCCCCTTCGACTAGATCTAGACAATTACACTCTGCTAAAAAACATTTTACACTAATTTTTGAATCAGCTTGATAATGACTGAGCGAGCAGCTTGACCGAGCGAAGGGGTCGATTCTTTGACCTTTCGGGTTCGTGAAAACGTGCCAGGGATCAAAACTTTTGAGGGGTTTTTTGAGTATAACACTAATGCCTCGACGCAAAAACCGCATGGGTTACTTGCCCAAGACCGAAATCTCGAGGATTTCGCTGCCGTAGCACTCAGAAATCGGACTTTATTTTTCCAGATGTCCGGCCAAAAATAGCTGTTTTACGCCTAGGTTTTTATGGCTATTTTCTTTTATGGCTCTTCCAGGTATCGGCCCCTCCCCTAGAATTCTGACCCCTGGAGTTCGCCCTTTCGCCCCATAACTCGATGCTCCGCTCTGACCGCCTTTTTAAAGACGCGCCCTGGCCATTCTACCAGGCTTAATGTGTTCCTGCCCTCCGCTTGTCATAAATTGCATAATCTCGGGTGGATCGATATTTTGTTGGGGGCTGAATAGGGGAGATAGGGCCAGCAAAAGCACTACCGGCGCCTTCGTCAGGGCTTGGGTCTAAAAAGGGGCGGCTTATCACAGCCAGAGGCATACAGAAACTCGCTTGGAGATTGGCCAACTTGAGTGCTTGGAAAGTTAGGCTTAATTTTCAAGGCGTAAAGTAAGGTTTAGACCAAGGCGTAGCTTAGGCTTAGCTTAGGCTCAGGCTCGGGCTTAGGCTTAGGCCACTGCTCGGCTTACATTAGGCTTAGACTTCGTTCAGGCTTGGGCTTAGACTCGGACTTCTGCTTGGCTTAGGTCCCGGCTTAGAATTAAGCTCCGGCTTAATGCTTAGACCTAAGCTCATGCTCAGGGTTAGTACTATGTAGCATTAAAGGAACTAGTAAAGAATACCTACGGATTTCCTTGTGCACTAATCCATTACGCAACTTCAAACCTACGACTTTCCGCTAAAAAGGGCCAAACGGGTCGATTTCGGCGTTTACGTTAGTAAGCTCTCTCTCTCTCGCTCTCTCTCTCTCTCTCCCTCTCGCAATATTTGTACTTCTTTATCTCTTTCAGCACTTCAAGGGCATTCCCCGACTGCCGCGATTCATTTATTTTATTTGTTTAAGAGTAGTGGTCGGGCTGTGAGCATGGCATCTGGGCGATAGTGTCTGATGAGGCAATCTGAAACCGTTGGACCAGAAATTAAAGCGCCCAGGAAGTCACTAGAGCTCTTCACCCTAGCTCAGTCGGTAAAGCGTTAGTTTTTCAAGCTTAGGGTCGTGGTTCGAACCTTTTAGCTGAATCTGTTTTGGTTTTTGCTTAAAATTAATGATAATATATTTTTAGTATAACATTCTTGTTAAATTATGTGAAAACATAAATCAGAATCCCTAAAAATGCCCCCCACTTCTTTTAGCCGGTGGTCCCAATTTGGAGGTGCTGCCGTAAAACAAGAAGGGCTTATCGCTGGAAGCAGAGAGAGATTCTGGGGGGGCTGCAGTGAGATAGTTGCGACGGGGCCGGTGCTCAATTTTACACCCCAGGCCTGTTGACGCTGATCTCTGCCTTGTCAAAATATACATAGAGACGTGAGGGTTGTTACGCAGAGTTTATGACGTCTCTGGAAAGAACTCTGGGGCCATTCGGACAAAGAGCTGGGACGGTTTTTTTAAAGGATAGTGACAGAAGAGAGGCCAGAGAGAGAGATAGAGAGCGAGAGAGAGACTAAGGGCGAGCTAGGGAATACAATGGAAGCGAGAGAACGGTGCTTAGAAATAGCCCTAGATGAGTGAGGTGCAGAGAAAGAGCGAAAGAGCTTGATAGTCATACTCCCTTTAAGCCAAGAAGCCAAAACCTATCATTGCTAACAGCGAAAACGGAGCAAGAGCGAGGAGAGCGAGCGAGAGAAAAACAGAGCAGAAGTTACAAAACCCTTCAAACCTGCTAGTTTTCAGACTACCACGGCTCAACCTCAGTCTCCCCGTCGTCCAGCTTGTCCTCCCCATCGGACATCAAGGTACAGCAACAAACTCCATAAATACACGCTTTTAGACGGATTTCGGAGCCGAATTCTACTCGCCACTTTGCGTGAACCCGTTCTCCGGAAGCGCCTCTTTCCTCCACTCGCCGGCGAGTAGCAGCAGGTATGAAACTCTAGCTGGCACTGTCCCTTTAAAATAGGTTTTTTGGGTATATCAAATACGGTAAAAAACAGCGTTTTTAGCAGCCCGTTCGGATTTCCGATACAAAATGGGCACCACGTTGGATCGGCGCAGGGATCGTTGCCATCGGTAGGTGGATTTTGATGCGAGAGAGAGAGAGCGAGAGAGCGAGAGAGCGGTAGAGAGCCAGAGAGAAAGAGAGAGAGAGAGAGAGTCAGAGAGTGAGATAAAATTTTATCATCTGCAAAATTCTGTTTTTTTAGATGTGCGACAGCCCCCTACCACCAGTTTCCCACTTTTCTCAGCACACCCAACACGCCCAGGGCCAGCTCCATCCAGGTAATTTTTGGAAGAAAAACGAGAGAGAGAGAGAGAAAGAGATAGAGAGAGCGAGAGAGCGAGAGAAGGATTCCAGCCAAAAATCCTTAGTTAAGCTTTCCCTAACTACGGGCGCAACGGTAGCACGAATTTCCGTATCTGTCCACAGTACATCACCGTAGTTGACTTGGCGTCTTAAGCAGGACTTTCAGGGATAGAGCCAGGAAATCACAAACGAATTACGGCAGACGCCAAAGCACAAAAAAATTTTCCCATCATCTCTATGTACTTGCAGCCGGCATGCTTCCCGTTGGGATGGGCGGCGGCTTCTTCATGTCCCCACAATTGCACCACCAGCCGATGCGCCACCATCAACCGTACGAATCGAAGGACGACGATTCTTCTGAGGAAAATGGTATTGTTTTTAGGGTTTTTGGTCTTGGGAATAAGTTTTTGGCACTAGCACGATGGTACTAATCGTAAAATTGGGAGAGAGAGAGAGTGAGAGAGAGAGAGAGGGAGGGAGAGAGCGAAGGCGAGAGAGAGCGTGAGGAGATAGAGAGCAAGAGAGAAATGCAAATTTTAATTTAGATTTTTCAGGCCGATCCCCATCTCCGCCGCTTTCTGACGGTGATACCGAAGGACTAACAGCCCTCCAGGCCCAACACCGATCACGCAGCAAAATGCACGAAATGGCCGTCCGCCAGAAGCTGATCACCGACCAGGTAGGGTACTTTAAAGCGACTGGAAAGGCAAAAACCGTATAACACCGTAAGCCAAACCTCCGCCAAGCCTAAGCCAAGCCTATGCCAAGCCTAAGCCAAGCCTAAGCCAAACCCAAGCCACGGCGTATCGATTTATCGCTACTAATCCATCCCTGCGTTAATAGACCCTTTTTCAGGACGTCCGCAGCCACGGGTGTGTCCAGCTATCGGCAGAAGAGAAGCGAACCCTCGTCCAAGAGGGATACCCAATCCCCACCAAATTCCCGCTGACAAAAACTGAAGAGGAAGCGCTGAAGATTGTCAGGCGCAAAATTAAGAATAAGGTTGGTTTAAGGGAAAAGGTTACGTACCTCGCTTTTTTAGCTCTCCGCGCAAGAATCTCGACGAAAGCGGAAGGAGTATATGGACTCGCTTGAGCAGAGGGTGCAGATATACTTTAGCGAGAATCAGGCTTTAAAGCATAAGATGAAGCAGTTGGAGGTGAGTATCTCTCGTTCTCTCCCTCCCTTTCTGTCTCTCGCTCGCTCTCTCTCTCTCTCTCTCTCTCTCTCTCTCTCTGTTCCCCCTCTCTCTCTTTCCTTCTCTCGCTCGCTCTCTCCCTCGCTCTTTCTCTCTCTCGCTCTCCTCGCTCTCTCTCTAGCCCCATTTCTCTCTATCTCTAGCTATCGATAACTGACGATCTTTCTAAACCCCTATTCCAGATGTCCAACCGCGGTCTGATGGCCCGTCTCAAACAGCTCGAAGCCATGGTGGCCCCCGGCAATGCCCAAATTATCGATGACGGCATGGTGATGTAGATGCTCTACAGTACGCTGCACTACACTACAGTACCCCCATCGTACCCAATTTCTGTGATTTTTTGAAACCCCCCGTGAGCGTCGAGCGAGTGCGTAGGTGAGTGCTGGGAATTTTCACTTGGTTTTTAAAGGGATCGTCGCGTAGTGTTAATTTTGTGAATTATTTTCCCCAGCTAAGGGTCGAGGGTTCGATCCCCGGAGCGGTTGAATTTTTGCCTTTTGATTTTTGCCTATTTTTTTGGTGGCACTGTCTCTTTAAAAACTTTTTCGCCCTGCCGAAAGCTATGCCGACTCGCCCGACGGCCCGACCAAGGTCTGCTTGATCCAATGCTGGTATATTTATTGAATTTGAAATTGTTTTCAATTATTGAAAATTTGTTTCTTAGTTTTCTATACTTTATACAGTATCTGTAATGTTTTTGATATATTTTAATTTTTTTGGAATTTCTAAAAATGTGATTTTTTGCGTTTTTTTTATGCCGGGATAGCAAGCTGTGATTTTCTATATATATTTTTATTCGATTTTTTCGGCCATTTAAATTGTGCTTTTTCATGGAGTTTTATCTTTTATTTTTTCGTGATTTTTGTATTAGACGACGATTAGGGATTTTTAGCCGGGGCACATTTTAAAGGGGCAGTCAAGGGAAAGTTAAAGATTTTTGGCTCCCTTGCCAATCCCTTTAAAATTTTTTAACTTTTAACTAATTCTAAGAATTGAAAAAATTATTTCCGTTGCTTTTCACACTCATCTTTCCCTCTCTCTGTCTCTGCTGATCTTTTCTTTCGACTCCAAAATACACCGATTGACGTCGTTGCTGCTGCTGGATTTTTTTGGAATTAAAAACAATTAAAACACATGGTTCTTTCGTATTTTTTTGATATTCTATTTTTTATGTAAAAGAATAAAGGTTTATACTGGGATTTTCGTGGTTGTTTTTTATAGCACAAAAACACGGATTAAATTAAGAGCATTTAAAGGGGAAGAGAAGGGGCCAATTCTTACGCAGAGAATGAGAATAGATGCAGAGCGTAAAGCTCTTTATTCGCAACAAATTTCGTATTGTTAAAGGGACAGGGACAGTAAAATCGTAAAAAGCTTCATCGATTAGGCAGTGAAACTCGGGTTTCGAACCGATTACGCGAGGTAATTCGGTTTTCAAGGGAGGGGGACGGTCAAATTTAGAAACCCTTAAGCTATTACGCCCTGACTTTCCAAACGATGACGCGATGTAATTTGATTTTAAAGGGACAGTGACACTAAGGTGTTACACTGTTACACTGGTACACTAAGGTAATGCGTAACCGATTACGCAAGGAAATTCGGGTTCGAGGCAGAGGCCGTTCCTTAATGTTTTAATTGCTTTGTAAAATAACGGGTTTAAAGAAAAACATGGTTTTGAAGATTGCAGCAAATTCGCCGTTTCAAGGGCTTTCGAATGGTGTAACTCTCATTCCGATCCGATACGTCTGCGGCGAGTTAGAGGGTGGTGTTTTTTATTGGACTGTGATATGGACCGGAACCGGAAGTGAAAATCCTCATTAGCATCGGAGAAATTAGCATAATTGGCGATGTCCCCGCATCGCTAGAAAACCAATCATTCTTTCGAGATGAACGTCTTCCAACTGGTGCTGTGCTTTGCTGGGCTCGGTATGCAAATTCTAATTTTCTTCCAAATTCAAATTAGTTGCTCATGCAATGTCGGTCGAGCCGGGGAAATGCGAGGCGGGCTGGTTCACGCCCGAGCGAGAGGCCGAGGTAAGAGAATGCTCTCTCTTCTCTCTCTCTCTCTCTCTCTCTCTCTCTCTCTCTCTCTCTCCCTTTCAAGCCAATTTCACTTTTCCAGATCACCAAATGCCTCATCAGCCAGCTGGCGCGGCACATCTTTGAGCAAAAGGAACTCAACACTACCCAGGTATCTTTTTTGAATTGACGGGACTGAACTTCTTCAGGATGCCGCCCAACTCCTCTCCGCGTCGAGGGCACTGCGCCAGCGCATGATCTGCCGCTACCCGGACGTCGTCAAGGCGTGCCCGTGCTCGGCCGAGGTGTTGAAGGAGCTGCGCGAGGAGGGCGTCTGCCGCCACAACTTCACCGGACCCTACTTGCCGTGTAGGACACGTCGTTAAATTAGCATACCTTATTTTTTCTAGTCGGCAGCGGCAGCGAGATCAGCCGATGCGCGCGCGTCAACACGGCCAGTGATGGACTATTTACGGTAAGCACTTTTTCACCTGTTCGCAAGTTTAAGTAACGCTGCTACGCGACGCTACGTAACGCTACGCTACGCAACGCTACGTAACGCTACGTTGCGCCAACTAGCGCTACGTAACGCCACGAAACGCTATGTTGCGCTACCTAATGCTACGTAACGCTACGTAACGCTACGCAACGCCACTTAGCTCTACGCAACGCTACGTGGCGCTACGTTTCGCGCCGTAGCGCTACGTAACGCTAAGTCTACCCACGATTCGCATAGCTACGCAAATATACGAAACGCTACGCGGCAATGCATGCTAACTCCTCTTCCTTAGGTCGGCCGATGCATCAAGGAGCAAACCATCAACGCCATGATGCACCATTCTACCAAGATCCCGGCCGCCGTATGCCCATCTTTCCCGACTCATTCATGTTCATCTTCTAGACCCTCCTCAAGTCGTACGAGACCCGCCCCGAGCTGCGCTTCCAATGGATTTGCGAGTCAGTCGAGATGTTCAGCTACAATTTACCGGTATGAATTCAGCGCGAAGGAGCACGTCGAGGTGAACTGCCCGTGCTCGGCGTCGGTGCTGCAGCAGATCGACTTCGGATTCTGCCGGCTGACCGAGGGGAACAAGATGCAACGTATGGGTGCTCAGATACGCTTCAAAGTCTGGAATTCAGAGCAAATCGCCCATCGTTGTCTCCTGAATCCGGTGGTGCTGCAGCGGGCCCGCAGCTGTGATTGGATGTATCCATCACATCCATTCCAAAAGCCACAAGACTACCGATCGCCCTGGGACTGCAGGTGGAGAAGAGCTGGCTCTTCCGAAAACACTTTTTTAAGTGACTACATCAAGTCAATCGAGTGCAAGCGGCTCGTGTTCGACGCCTGCATGCCGGGCGCCGGCGACGAGTACGTGCGGCTGTTCCTTGATGGGGTGAGCTTTAGTTTAAGCCTAAGCCTAACCTAGGCCTAAGCCTAACCTAAACCTAAGCCGAGCCTAGGCGGCTATGCCCTTTCCTTTTCAGACGGATCTCGAGCGCCCCGCCCACAAAGTGTGGAACATCTGCGGTGGTCAGCTGAACTTCCCGGCCTCGTTGTTCAACCCTCGCCCATCCCCTCCTGCCCGCATCGATCCATCGACCATCTGCGATTTTAACTGCCCCGTCCTCGGCAAGGTCAGCAAGTTCTCACTTCTTGAAGAACTCTCCCAATCACAGATCCCACCACTCGACTGCTTGGCCCACAAGACGCTGAAGGGACAGGCCCAGGCCGGTGTGCTGCACCACGACGAGATCATCCACAGCGGGCCCATCGACCTGAGGGTGATCGGCGCCACGTCGATGTGCAAGTGCGTTTTAGTGCTGGGTTTTGTGGTTTAAGTGGCTGGCACCACCGGCCGGGAGTTCATCTACAGCTCCAGTTTATAAATGGTCTTTCAGCCGCTCGGCCGCCGAAGAGAAGACGCTGCTGACGTGCGGCGCGTGTGCGCAGGACTACTTGGAGATGTCCGACAAGGCCATGTGCAACGGGAACGCGATCAACCCGGATGGTATCGTACTTTTTACCGATTTCCGCTTTGCTTTACGGTTAAGTAAATTGTCGAGACCTGGCATACCGAAAGCGTCGATTTTCAGACTTTGCATTCCCTTTAAAGTGGTTGAAGTTGGTTTTTTTAGTTGCGAAGATCACGGCCTGCCTGGCCAAAGACCCGCACCGCGCACAGCAGCTACGCGACACCTGCTGGACCGACACCAGCAGCAGCTGCATGTACGTCTAGCTAGTTGTGTGGTGTACTCTACCGTACCCTAGGTCCTCGACCCGATACATGGCCTGCCTGCGCGACGAGCTCGACAAGAAATGCCCGGGCACTGCTGGCGCCTGGCAGCCCATGTGGGAGAAGGTAACCTTTTTGTCATATTCTTACCGTAACCCTCTCCAGGTACTCGACGGAATCGACCACCCGCTTCTCCGCGCTTTCGACGTCAACCTGACGCGCTGCTTGGGGCTGGCCAACGACAAGTCTCAAGTCCATTCCTCTGATCTGCCACGTTTTCTGGTGAGTAGGCTTAGCTTAGGCTTGGCTTAGGTTTAGCTTTGGCTTAGCTTCTGCTTAGCTTCGGCGGCTTAGGATTGGCTTAGGTGGCTTAGGCCTAGCTTAGGCTTAGCTTTAGCTTAAGCTTAGCTTAAGCGAGCTTGGGCTTAACAATTCGTCAAATTCTAGCCTGCCTCTTCCTTCTCCTCCTCGGTCTTCCTCCTCTCCGACGATGCCGAGCCGCAGAACTACGACGAGCGTGCCCTCTCCCGCAGCAGCTTCGTCATCCTTGCCGGTAAGTGCTTGTAGTATCCTTGCGTTTCTGCTGAGATCCCGACCTGCAACGCGCCCTGTTTTAGTCCTGATCGCCTTCCTGTTCGTCTACGCCGTCGCCATCTTTGTCTGCTTCTGCTTCGTTTGTGGAATCTAGTGAGTTGTGTACTTGTTGGTGACGCTGTCAACTTCTAGCCTCGGCCACGCTGCCCAGCAGCAGCAGGACCTTCGTGACGCCGACGCCGCCGTGGCGCGCCGTCAGGAGAAGTAAGGGATTTTGAGCACGACCTATACGAAATGCTTCGCTTAGGTACGTGGAGGCGCTGCGTGATGAGTTGCACCATCGAGACGTTGAGCGGGCCCAGACGTCATCGAGGGCCAGCACCACTCCGGTAGGGATCTCTCTCTCTCTCTCTCTCTCACTCTATGGCTCTCCCTCAATTTCTCCCGTACAGTCTAATTTCAGTCCCGCTCCTCTCGCCGCCGCTCGAGCCGCACTCGCTCGTCCAGCCGCTCCCAGCGCCGCCGCTGATCGTCTACCATCTATCCATCCTACCCTGGCTCGTCGATGAGCACCACCATCACCTCGTGCTCATCATCTCTACCCCCATGCCAAGCCCACATCGCCCCCAGATTTTCGACCCGAGAATGGGCCTCTCCTCATCTCTTCGCCCCCCAGTTGTGTCTGCATTTCTTTTTGTATTTTTTTTTGTATTCGCATAAATCCTCTGTATTGGGCATACTGTGGTATTAGCATTGAAGCATTTATTGCATGACCAGCGCCCAAAACCCGCTTCGCGGGCCTTGGGCGCTGGAATGCGGTTTTTGCATGATGAATTTGACTTTCCGATCACTCGGGTCCTTCGGACCCCTCCCCTCTGCCGACCACACGGGCGAGTGCAACTGGCATGAATGAGGAAATTTGTATTTTTTCACATTATGCAAATTAGCCTGCCCGGACCCCTAAAAATCAATAAAACCGGCTTTAACTTTGTAAGCTTGTATTTTATCGGGATTCTGAAAACGCCATCGGAAAGAGGAGGGTCGATTCCCCCGGGTGACGGAGAATTAGGGCGTTTTGGACACGGGAAGGCCCTCAAATCGAGCCTCGAAACTGACCTCCGCACACACACACAGACAAAGATACGCGACCAAATTATTATTGCATGATACTTGAAGACGAGCTACGGAGCAGTGCATAACGCGTCTAATGACGTATCATACGTAGCTTCCCACGCTTGCCCTATCGGGTTCTTTTGCATTATCGGGGGGAGGAGGATTTATTGATCTAGAAATGTCTGGTAACTTAATAGGAAATATTTGAATACTGTTTTCAGTCAAATAAAACTATATTTTAACTAGAAAAAAGAAAGTCCTCTGACGTTTGGACTTTTTTTAATTGAAACAATAGTTTCCAAAAAATTCCATGGTTTCCGATTTTTCCGATCGTTCGCTCCTTTTCCCTCCCTTTCCGCCGCCCAATTTCCGCCCGGAATTCGGAAATGCATGTGTTATTGGTGGGCGCTGTGGACCCCCAAGGGGAAGCGAAAGATCCATCCCATTTTGGCCAAATATACCCGCCGGTATTGGGCGGATAATTTCCGATGCTCCAGAATCTGTTGCCCGATGCCGAGATACAATTCGGGGCCGTGCCTGAAAATCCCGAATTTATGCCCATGCTACAGATCCTGAGACGCCGAAATGCTACTAATGGCGCCAGAGCGGTGCCGTTTGTCTTTAGGAGGTTGGCGGAATTTTTGGGAACTGGTTTGTTAGCGGGGGGAGACTAGCTTTTCCAGGTTTCCAGGTTCCAGGTTTTCCAGCAATATCGATTTTTTTTGCGCCCGCAACACGCAACGCGCGGCCGTAGCGACGGCATCTTAACCAGTTATGCCATGAAAAGTACGCGTTTCGAATTCGAATTTCGAAATTCCGACTAGCCAGAAAATCTAGAATTCTACCTTGCATGGCCCTTTAAGCAGTAAGAATCCAGCGGAAAATCCGGAATCTTGCAGATTCTACAAGCTTGACGACTTCCTGCTCGACTCGGAGCTGGCCGAACAAGTTCGAGGTGAGGAGAGAGCGAGAGAGAGAGTGAGATAGAGGGAGGGCTGGAGAGAGCGAGAGAGCGAGAGAAACAGAGAGAAAGTCAGCGCTAGAGAGCTGGAGGGCTTTAGAGAGACGGAGAGAGAGAGAGAGAGAGAGAGCGGGAGCGAGAGCGAGAGAGATAGAGAGAGCGAGAGAGTGAATGGCAGGGGAAGAGAGAGCGAGAGAGAGAAAGAGAGTGAGAGAGGGAGGGAGAGAAAAAGTCAGCGAAAAGAAAGCTATTAAAGATTTAACGTATTAAACTTCTCAAGTTACACTTTAAACCCCTGCAAACGTTCCATTCGTTTTTCCTCCTTTTCCTCGTTTCTTTGTTCTACTTTTTGGGCCCTTCTTCTCCTCCCCCTTCCCTCTAAGGGCCCTTCGTCGTGAAAAATTTGCTTCCGCGTCCGGTGTAGAAACCTTGGAAGGGGCCCCTGGGGGATTCTTGGAACCGGAGATTTTTCCTTTTTAGGGCCGCTTTTTGCTCTTTGCATAATGGGACGCGTGTATTTTAGGCACAAAAATGTCGGGATTTCTAGAGCTCCCGTCAACTTAAAACGGCCAGTTTCACCCTCAGGTCCAAGTCGAACGTCTCGAAAACGTCGCGTCACCACTTGAATAGTTTTATTGCGTGTCTACCCCCAATTAGCATCATTTTGCACCTGGCTCACGTCGGGGGGGGGGGCGGGCAGAATTGGCCCTAAGCCTCGGGCTCTCAGCGGGGCCCAAACAGGGAAGGGAAAGGAGAAAAAAAGAAGGAATAAGAAAACTAGAGCGCAGCCCACGGCGGGGGTAGGGGAGGGTCATTCCAGGTAGAATTTACGGGCATTTTTTGTGAGCCAGCTTTTCGGGGGGGTGCTAGGAATTCCGGGTTCTAACACTTTCCGATTCCAGGTGGCTCCAAATTACGGTGCTGGAATTGTGGTTTTAAGTCACTAAAGTTTGGCGTCTATCAATGCAGGGTAATGATACTTTTCTCGTCGTACAAAATTGTGCCTGTCACGGTCCCTTTAAAACTAAAAGCATTACCTAGTAGTAGAAATGCTCAAACTAAAAATACCAAACTTAATGCGTTTTTTGACGCTCCTATTAATTCCTGATCCAGGGAAACCGCCCCGCTCCACTGAACACCTATGGACATGCCATTCTAGGACCCCTCATTGGAGGCCATTATAGTGATCGTTCTCCTCTTTTTTTTTCTCTCGTTCCTCTCCTCTTCTGCTACTGGCCTAATGCCAAAAACAAAAAAAAAACGCAAAAACACTTATCCACCCCCACTTCAGGCTACACCTTTAGGAAAAGGATGATTTTTCGGGGAGCTTATGGCTGAAGTGGGTGCAAGGGTAAAGTGGGGGGATGGCTGGGGATTACATACGTGCTCTGTTGGATTTCATGATTTTGAAAGTTTTTGAATTGAATTTAACTCTCTGCTAAAAAATAACGTTCTGGAATTACTGGGCGGTTACGCTCTGGAATTATTCTTTCACCTCACCGTCCAGTACGTTACGCTACGGTACGCTACGGTACGCTACCTTACGCTACGGTATGCTACGTTACGCTACGGTACGCTACGTAACGCTACGGTATGCCACGTTACTCTACGGTATGCTACGTTACGCTACGGTACATTACGTTACGCTACGGTATGCTACGTTACGCTCCGCTACGCTACGTTACGCTACGGTACGCTACGCTAAGCTACGACACGGTATTCGTGATGCGCCACAAACGGTACAGTGCGTAGGGTAGGGTACGATACCTCCTTTTTACTGAAAGTTACGCTACACTACGAAACGAAGATATACCATAGAATACGACAAGATACGCGATAACAGATCCTGCATTATCGCATGCATTCCGACAACTTGTTCTAAAAAACCTCGATCACTGTTTCAATGCTTTTTGAACAGGCATTTGCCGTTTTTTTACTTTTTTGTTTCTTAGCATCTGGGTCGTATTAACGCGCCGCCAAATCGCAACCAGATTCCGAACTTTGACCCCGAACTTTCAGAAAATCTCAATTTTTTCGTTGTCTACTGGCCAACCGCAAATTGGCAATTTTCTAGGGGTTGATTCGGGTCCAATTAAAGGCGAAATAACCTTTTGTCTGGACCATAATCCGGAGAGTTTCTGGGGGCACTTTTGCTTTGACCGGTCTGAGGCGAGGGATAATCCGTTGTGGGTGGGGGGCGGGACATGAAATAGAGGGTGGGGGAGACAATCCCAAGATTTCTCGACTTCTACAGGTTCAATTCATAAATGTCATTGTTGTAGGGTTGTATTTTGTGTAATTTGAATTATGTTTTAATCCCGGAACCTTCAGACGAATTCAGTAATATTGCAAAATCTACCAGCGACCAAAACTATAAAAAGTTTTGGTGTTTTCTTTTCCGACCAATTTTTGCCTTAATATCCTAGTTTTGTAAAAAATAAAACAGATCTTTGCAAATGTTTTTATTATTACGTTACGCGATTTTCTGAATTTTTGTGAAAAGAAACTTGAAACTTGAAAAGATTTTCTGGACGGAAATTCTCGAAAATTTAGTTTTTTTTTAGGTTTTGGAGATGATTTCTCTTTGAGATATCGTTAAATTTTACTAAAAACATTATTAAAATATTTTTTGATACCTTAATAGACATTTGTCAATTTTTGCAAGGAAAAATTCACTCCCCTCCCCGATAATGCGAAAGAACCGCCAAGCCTAATTTATATCGTTGTTGGATAACTTGACATACCGTAGTACTCCAGCTACCGTAATCCAAAAAAGGTATTGTTTGGTTTTGATGATTTATTATTTTTTAACGTATTCGCAGTATCCTATAAATACGGATAAACTCGATTTGTTTACTTTTTTTTGTCTCTTTCAAAACTCTTTTCGAACTCAAGTCAGGAAACTCATGCTCCAAAGCTTCCAAAAATCTCATTTTTGTCTCGGACTTGCAGCCACGTCAACTTTTGCGCTTCCCGAGAAATCAGCGTTGATGGATTGACGCGTAGTCGACTTTTTTGGTCCGTTTTTAGGCTCCCCGGGGGAACATTTTGAACCGAGCAGCTCCGGGGGCGGTCACTTTTTCCCCTGCCCCCAGGGCACATCCATCAAGTTGCCGGGATTTTTTTAGAACTAAGAAAATGGTGAGCGGATGGTTCTAAGAATACCCACTTCAGATCGACTGTCAGCGTCG